GGACATGACAACACTGTTAATGTTTCTGACCCGCCATTTCTTTGCCTTCAACTCTTCACCTGTTAAATGGGCACAGTGCTCCTTACCATCTTTGCTAAGTATTTGACGCCTTACATAAGAGGCAGGTGTTAGTACTTCAAAATGACCAGTTAAAACATGTTGTACTTGTTTTATTCTTGGCACTTCTGAAAAGGAAAAGAACGCGGTTTTCTCTGATCTACATTCATTTTAGACTACACCACTTTACAGTACTGTAAATGAAAGATAAAAGCAATAAAACTGCACTGACCTTTTCCTTAATGTAGACTCACAAACCTTGACCACCCTGATGACCTCTTTTACAGTACGTCGGAAATCATGCATTCTTGCTGCCACTAGCAAAGCTAGAGAATAAGCAGGGAAAGTCAATGTCAAAAAGAGGAAAATTTCCTGAAGAAAAGCAGAAAACGGTCAGATAACTACACCCTCTCTTTGTCCCTGCCTTCAGTTAAAGAGCTGTAAATGCTTATGCTCAGCTGTGTCCCTGAATACAGGTGTCTGTCTTGACTTTACTAACTTTCCTTCCTGCCCACTAAAATAAAGCTGATTGCAAACTGTACCCTGAAAAACTCTGTGCCTTAACATTTGGGAAAACATGGTCAGCTACTTAAAATACAGCACAAGAACATCTCATTGATCACTTATTTTCAAAGTTACCATCTTTTTAGCAGAATTTACTAGTCCTGAATAAAATGATCTCCAGTGAAACACTGCACCTGCTTAACCTGTTATCCCCATCGCTGTCAACACTATCACTTGTCTTGCTAGTGCCCAAGCACTCTCCTGCAAGACCCTCTATGCAGGTGGATAACTAGTACTGACTGCATTTATACTAGTGTGTTAATTCAGAGCGCTAGCTCCGTTTGGAAACATCACCTCCACTCATCCTGCAGTGAATGGCTCAATGTGCAGAACAGTTTTAAGCATGCAAAAGTGCTTCCTTTCAGAGGAAACTAAACCAGAGCTCCACTTCAGGCATGTGTTTAAAGGGCTCCAGCTCCTAATGGGAACATCAGGGGCTGAACTAACAACTGGTCCTTGACACAGACATTTAGGTCAAGGAACCAAACTAAATCCAGTCCACAGTACACCCCATGAACTGCATATTGCACGGATGGACGCAGGGGACTCAGCACCGCCTGTTTCAATCAATTGATCCCTGTCTGTTGAATCAAATTACTTGCTCATGTAGATATAGTCTCTGTAGTGAATCAAAGACCAGGCTGGTCTCCCGTAGAGTCTATACTCAAATTTTTAGCAATGTGCAGTAAGCAAGTACCATTACCAAAAAGAAGCTAGAAATTTCAAGAAGGTTGCATAGTCCTGGGTTCCCTAAGGTTTGAGTGCTATTTCTCATTCTGGCATGCACACCTAAGATCTTTCAAATAAAATAAAGCACATACGTGAACTCTGTGCCCATCTACACTCTTCGTTACTCTGACCTCACTGGCTGGTACTGACTACCTTTTAACCTGGCCCTCCCAAACCGGTAGGATTTTTGTAAGCATCATGACAGTGATTGATCTTGGAAAAAGATGAAGAAGGAGAGGAAAATAATTTCAGAGAACAGGTCAAAGAGGGCATTTCTTGCATAAGACTCTGTGTAAAGACACAAATCAAAGTGCTTGCACTAATGGTGTCATTTCAGCTGACAAAAAAACCTTTTAGCAGCTAGAGCTCGCAGAGAGTGTGGGCGAGAAGAGCACCAGAAAGGAGGTTAAAAAATCCAAAATATAACGTACAAAGGATCTGAGCAAGCAATGTAGGAACAAGGGCAAAAATAAAATTTCAGTTTCAGAAACAGTTTCATGAAGACCTATATAATCTGTAGGTACCTGGCAGCAAAAACCCTAGAGAACGCAGCCTCACTGAGGAAATGAGCAAGTCCCCTTCAGTTCCCAGCTCCCAGACCCTCCCGCCCACCGCGCCGCGGGGGAAGCGCCTGACATACCCGCTCCGCAGAGCCCGGAGGGCCGGCGGCCAGTGTGCATCCAGTCCCGCTTCATCCTCTGCAGCAGCCTGAGAGCCGTCATGGACACTTCGTGGTTCTTCTCCCCAAACTCAAGCATGTGCGCAAAACGAGGAATATATAAACACGGATCTGCAGCAGAAAGTAATACAGTTACTTCTAATCCTAACCTCTTTGATTTAGGAAATGCAGTACTGCGGGGCTGTCGTGCTTGGCTTGCTTCAAGTCTCAGCAAACAACGTGGGCTGTGCTGCTGGGCCAGATCCTCTGATCACTAAGCTTTAGAAGCACCTTTTTAGTTGAGTTAAAAGAAAATCCTTTTTTGCTTTATAGACAAAAGACCTTTAAAGCACTGCATATATTTTTCTTACATCCTTTCCAGGGTCCATGGCTGCACATGCTGACTCCGACACGTGAGCAGTGTTACTGATATCAGTGAAATTATGCACAAAGCTAAGCATTTGCAGAAGCTTTTGCAGAAGGGGGACATGACTTAGACCCAAAACTTGTAACACCTCCTGCAAAGTAACAAATAAGGTAACTTGCACGTCTCATTTCACACCTAGCTACAAACTAATATTTGAAAAAAATTTGTTTGCTTAAAATCCCATGTCCCTAACACAAGCCTACTTACACCTTCAAAGCTAATTCCAGCTCCTTTTCAGACTCAAATTCCAACAATACAAACCACTATTTATTACAGGTACTAAGGCATACTCTCCATCAGCATAAATTGCCGAAACCCAATTAACGTCAACAACACTATGACAATTTACATCAGCCACAGATCAGCCTCCAGATGTATCAACTTATTTCAAGTGTTGGTGTTATCAGCTTCAAACTAACCGAAATATGTCAGTATGGATTGTGCATTGCCTAAACCAATTTATAATTTATCAAACAATCTTGTAAAAGCTACACTTAACACATGTTTACTCTTATTTGAGGTATCAATTTCTCATTTCCTGCCAGCCTTTTATCACTGGACCGAAAATCCATGATGTACGGTAAATTGTTAACTATTAGTCTCAACTCAATTTCCTTAGCTGATCCCCTATGTGGGCACTTAAACTGATAAAGATGAAAATTCAGCTCGAAACACTGGAACAATCTTACAGATTTACAATTAATCAAAGCAGCTTCATTTAGCTCCAAGTTCTAACAATGATGCCCTGTTGCTATCCATAATTACCAAGATCACACCATAGGTGATTATGGCTGTCAGCCCTGCAAAAGCATTTAAATTAAAGCATTTATCAAGCAAAAGCTTCCAAACACATCTCCCTCAAAACTGACAAAATGCCAGAGTGCAGTCACCTCCTAAGCAGGACCCTAAAAAACAAAGGTTTAGGAAAGATTAACCGAGCCCCACGATTCTTAAAGGCAGCTGCTGTGTATTTCCAAGGATGAATTTATAAAACTCTAATCAACAGAAATGACCGATTCCAAAATACAATAAGAACAACAACAACAACAAAAAACCTTTCAAGGGCATTAGCCTGGGATTCAACAGACATTTAACTCTTCGCACTACAGAAACGTGTGCGATGTTACAAAGCAGTGCCTGGTTTGCTTTCCCATCTCTTCCTACCCCGAGAGGGCCCAACCAGAGCAGGGCAATACACAGCTTTCTCTTCCGAGCATTTACATATTTGTATTGTAGCTGTTCAGACATTTCTGCTGGCATTCATGCCCACAGGTCATTTGACAAAACATTGCACATCGTTAATTTAAATTCTGAAGCTACCAGTCAGAAAATGAATACACAAGTGGGTTTTAAGTGAAAAGCCTTAAAGAGGCCATAAATGGCTAGAAAGCAATACTACCAATATATAAATTAAATGCCTCAACACCTTGATTCCTTCCACGGGTACTGAACAAGCTGGGGGGTGGGTGCTGCGGCTCCCAGGGGAGCCCCCTCAGCCTCAGGGAGACCCCTGGGACTGAAACCCTCACACGCCAGTGAGCAGGTTCGAGTGGGGCAAAACCCGCTGATTTTCCTGAAGGGGGGCTGAGGGGGCCGTGAAGCAGATAGCAAGGAAAACATTATTTTGAGAAAGAAATGTCTGTTTTTCTGAGCACCTTCCCTTCTCTCCCTGTCCCACTGATGACCTGGAACTGGGACTTTAGGAAGAACCGCCATGCCACATAGTCATTAACAGGAATATGAAAAAAAAAAATAAATCTCGGAAACTGTTTAAAACAGTGATTTCCCCACCAAAGCAAGTAACCGGGACGGCAGGGCGGTGGAGAGAAGCCAGACCCCCGCCACGGGAACGGGCACGGAGAGCGCGGCTGGGGGGTGGGGGGGGTGTCAGTCCCGCTGAAACACCCCCGAACCGGGGGGGGGGGGGGGACACACAAGCGGGGCTCGGCGCTTTCGCGGCTGCGAGAAAAGGGGCGGGGGGGGGGGGGGAAACACCAAAACCCCTGCCGCTTCCTCTGGCTGAAGTAACGCCGGCCCAGCCGCACCCCCCGCGCCTGCAGCCGTCCCAGGCGCCGGCCCCGGCGGGGCAGCGAGGTGGCCCGGCCCCCCCCTCCCGCGGCGGCGGAGCGGTGCGCGGCGCGGCGGCGCCCCCGCCCGGGCCGGGGCGGTGGGAGCCCGGGGCTGCCCTGGCCGCTACTGAGAGCCCGCGGGGCCGGTCCCCGTGCGTGGGGGGTGCCTCCGTGTCCCTCCCTCCCGCTTTCCCCGCGGTTGTTCGCGCTGGGAGCGGGGGGGCTGCGGGAAGTGGGGGGGGGGGGGCGCCCTGCCGGTACCGGCTGAGGGGTGTGGGGGGGGGGGGGGCGGCTGTCGGTGCCCGGCGCCGCGAGCGCAGCGCCCCCGGGCGGGCGCGGCGGGATGGGGCGCGCGCGGAAGATTGACAGACGGCGGGGCGGGCCGCCGCGCCCCGGCGCTTCCCATTGGCGCGGGCGGGCGTGACGCGCGGCTCGGCGGCTGCCTATTAGGGCGGGAGGCGGAGGCAGGGCCCGGCAGAGCCGCGCCGAGCCCGCTCGCGCAGCGCCGCGCGTCCCGCCGCCGTGAGGGGAGCGCCGCGGGCAGCAGCGCCCGCCCCGCCGCCGCCGAGGAGCCCCGCGGGCAGCTACGCCCCCCCCCCCCCCCCCCCCCCTCGACGCGGGCGGGAGGAGCGCGGAGGAGTCAGCGCTGTGTGGCGGCGGCCGCCGCGGGGAGATCGAGAGAGAAAGCGAGAGAGAGAGGAGGAAAGTTGGTGCGAACGGCGGCGGCGGGGCCGCCCGGGAGCCGGGACTGCAGGGAGCCGCCGCCTCGCCTCGGCCCGGCCGCCGCGGATGTGCCCCCGCCGCGCGGGGACGGACAGAGCGGAGCGGGGATCGGGCGGCGGGCTGCGCTTCACCCTCGCCGGGCTGCTGGACGCGGAGGATTTGTGGACTGACTCTCGCTCCTGACCCACCGCCCCGGCTGGATTTGTGTGGTTGTGTTGCTGGATTTCGACTTTTTTTTTTTTTTTATTATTATTATTATTTTCCTCCTTTTTCTCTCATCTTTCATCGGGGGAAGGAACTGCCTGCCCGGCCCGCTGGGGTTCCACACTGCAGTCGTGGCAGTGCCGCGGAGGCTGGGACCCCCCTCCACGCCAAGGTGAGCGCTGGCGCCGATCCGAGACACCATCGCCCCTTTCCCCCCGGAAAGGTGCGGCGGGCTGGTAACCAAAGAACGCGCACACACAGCGCAAAAAAAAAAAAAAAAAAAAACCAACACCAAAACCCAAAACAACACCAAAAGCCGCCCTGCATCTAGAAGCGTACAAAATATCCAGATAGTGGGACTCGCAGTTGGGATTTGTTAGTTCTCTTGCTCATGCCACTGCCCCATGGTTGCCTCAATGGCAGGATCATGAAGTGTTTGACTTTTTTTCTTCTGCTTCCAGAGACCTTAAAGAAGTCCAAAAAGAGTGTGAGGTCAAACGGCAAGGTGCCAGGATGCTATGAGATAGTGCCCCTGTCCCTGAAGAAGAAGATGGCTGCAGAACTTTACCCTGCCAGCACCAACACCAACATTGCAAACAGCAACGCCGCCGCCGCCGCCACCGCTGCCAACAGCAAGAAGAACGCCCTGCAGCTCCAGCAGAGCGCCCAGCCGCCCCCGCCGCCCCAGCTCCAAAACCTCAACAACAACAACTTGGAGAGCGCCAACTGGCAGTCCTTCCATCCCACCCTGCGGGAGAGGTAAGGGCCGGGCCCCCGCCGGACCCCCTCCCCGGGCGGGCGGGCGGGCGGGCGAAGCGCCGGGCCCCGCGGCACCTGCGCCGGGGCCGGGCAGGAGGGGCCGGGGGCGGCGGGGCTGGGGCTGCCCGCGGCTGACGGGGCGTCTTCCCCCCCCCCTCCCCTCGCTTGCAGGAACGCGCTGATGTTCAATAACGAGCTCATGGCTGACGTTCACTTCATCGTGGGCCCGCCAGGGGCAGCCAAGAAAGTTCCTGCCCATAAGGTTTGTGCAGATAATTTTTGGCTTTTTAATACTGCGGTGCGTATCGCCTTCTCCCCCTGCCTTGCAAGGAGGTTCCCTTGTTTTTTTTTTTCCCCTATAATTACGGCTCTGTAATCCCAGAAGTAATTCACAGACGCTGCAATTAGACTATTCCCTTTAAGAGAGTCTTCTGCCTCAACTGCAGCTTTTAACTTTCCCGAAGTGTAGCTCTTGTCAAAAGCCAACACACTCAGCTATTACCAATACATATTACTGAGGCTTCTCTCTCTTTATTTTCCAGTATGTTTTGGCAGTTGGTAGCTCTGTCTTCTATGCTATGTTTTATGGCGATCTCGCAGAGGTCAAATCTGAAATCCATATACCAGATGTGGAACCTGCAGCCTTTCTGATCCTATTAAAGTAAGTGGCCACTACAAGTCTACTAATTACGTGGACAGAATCAAAGTAGCTTATAAAATATACATCTCCTAATTGGCCTTGTGCAATACGCACTTATTACTGTTTACTTAATGTGCTGACAAACTGAATGTCAGATTCACTGCCAGCAAAGATGACCACTGATCAATCTCGCATGGCCTGTTTTTTCTTTTCCCCCATAGAAACTATTTTTTTTTCTTTTTTTTTTTTTTTCCCCCCATCTAGATACATGTATAGTGATGAAATAGACCTGGAAGCTGACACAGTTCTGGCTACGCTGTATGCTGCCAAGAAGTACATCGTGCCGGCCCTAGCAAAGGCTTGCGTCAATTTTCTGGAGACCAGTTTAGAAGCGAAGAACGCTTGTGTCCTGCTGTCTCAGAGCAGGCTCTTCGAGGAGCCAGAGCTGACGCAGCGCTGCTGGGAAGTGATTGATGCTCAAGCAGAAATGGCACTGAAGTCAGAGGGCTTCTGTGAGATAGATCAACAAACACTAGAGATCATTGTGACCCGGGAGGCACTCAACACCAAGGAAGTGGTAGTTTTCGAGGCTGTTCTCAACTGGGCAGAGGCTGAATGCAAAAGGCAAGGGCTGCCGGTTACGCCACGCAACAAGAGGAACGTATTAGGAAAAGCTTTGTACCTGGTACGGATTCCAACCATGACTCTGGAAGAGTTTGCCAACGGAGCTGCCCAGTCCGACATCCTCACCCTTGAGGAAACTCACAACATATTCCTATGGTACACGGCTGCAAATAAACCCAAACTAGAGTTTCCGCTGACAAAAAGAAAAGGACTTGTACCTCAGCGATGCCATCGGTTTCAGTCATCTGCCTATCGCAGCAATCAGTGGAGGTACCGAGGGCGATGTGACAGTATTCAGTTTGCCGTAGACAAACGGATATTTATAGCAGGACTGGGATTGTATGGGTCGAGCTGTGGCAAAGCTGAATACAGCGTCAAAATCGAACTGAAGCGCTTAGGAGTTGTGCTTGCTCAAAATCTGACAAAGTTTACCTCCGACGGCTCCAGTAACACTTTCTCGGTGTGGTTTGAACACCCTGTGCAGGTTGAGCAAGACACATTTTACAATGTAAGTGCTATTCTGGACGGTAATGAACTCAGTTACTTTGGGCAAGAGGGAATGACTGAAGTGCAGTGCGGGAAAGTGACCTTCCAGTTCCAGTGCTCCTCGGACAGTACTAATGGAACCGGAGTACAAGGAGGACAAATACCTGAGCTCATTTTCTATGCATGATGCATTTCACCTTGATTGTATTCCAATACTGCAATGATGCACATTAAGGGATTTTTCAGTTTTACTACGAACTCTGCAGCAGTATGGAATGTTACGCTACTTACCTATCTGCTACATCAGGCTATACAAATAAGTGAAGGAATGCTCTTGAATTTAATCTTATTTTATTTATTCATAAGCTATTTGACTTAATTATTAAGACTGCAACAAGCAGAAAAATGTTAAATTTCGCACGTACTGTGCATTTATTTTGTATATAGATAACTAACTTGCAGACTGCAGCTGACTTAAACAGAATGTTCTAAACTAGAGCAGTTTATGAATCTGTGAAATATAAAACATTTTTACTTGCCCTAAATCCTGTGTACTTGATCATTGCTGATCTTATGGCTTGTGTCTGTTAACTGTGTGGTGGATGAATTAACAGGGGTGATGGTACTGTAGTCTGTCCCTTGTGTGCATCTACACCAGGCAGTAGCTATCACTGCAAATACAAAGGTTCCCTTGCCTGGTAATTGAAACTGTCCAGCAGCAGCCTTTATTTTCCTTCATCAAAAAGGGAGCTGACATACATGGAAGCTCAGGGGTTTTTGTGTGTTGCCTAAACTGAAGATAGACAAACCATGACTGTAATCAGAGTTGATCAAAATCATCCTGTGGTTATAATTTGAAAGCTTCTAATGCCCATTCACACACATCTTTCTGTGTTAACCTCGAGGCTGCCCAGCAAACAGCAACACTGACACTTGTACCTGTCAAACTGCACCTCACTTCACTGGCCAGAGTCAAGACACAGATGAAGCTTAACACAGTGACAGGTTTCATCGCGGATTGAGCCCAGAGCTGTAATACTGGCAGCCACTATCTAAATCCCATCCTCAGGTTTAGGAGCAGACATGAGAGAAATACTTGCAATATGGTCAAGTTCACTTAAAATTACTACTTTGAAATAAGCCACGCCTTAAACAAAATCTGTTGGATCTTTCCTCCCCCTCTATTTTTTCCAAAAGCATAGTCCCATTTACTGTCAGCAGTCATTTTACAGCTATTACCCTTAACTGTTCTCAAAATGTGACAAAAGTAGGTGTTTTTTTTTCAAGTGCCTGACAATCATTACAGATGAGCCAATTAGAAATACTAGTTTTTATAAAAATGTCTTCCTCAATGACCTTGGAAAGAATATTCAAACAGCAGTCTCAACCAGTATTTTTTTCCACGTATAACAAAAGTACCTCTACATTTAATTTAGAAGGGTTTTCTGCTTGTATTTTCCTAAGCCGCATTAATTTTCACCTTGAAACTAAGCTGCAATACAAATTCTGCCTGTTCTCTCTTTAAAAAATAGTCGTGAAAAATAAGAAGGCAACTGAATTACTGAAAACACGAACTTTTTACCAGACATGAAGCCACGCTAAGGAAGCCGGCCCACCCGCTGGCTGATGGCTGTGCACTGCCACGTGCTCTCTGGACGCTGTTAGGAGGATGCTCAGCACGGGAGCTGCTGGTTCCCTTGCTGCGAGGGCAGGCAGCTGTGTGCCCAGCTGAGTGCATCTGCAGGGGTGTGCATGCGTGCTGTTCTTGAACATAAAGGCATCTGATTCTCAGTACAGATTAAGCAGAGTGGGAGTGAGAGTGGGTAAAGATACAAGAAGAAAATTCCTGCACAGAGGTGGGTAACAGTCACAAGATCTCTCTGTGAACGTACTCTTTTAACTGGAATTGGCATGAATTCCCTTGGCTTAAAAACTACAACCCTGACAACAGCTTTTTTACCATTTTGACAGGTTAAAACCCACCTTCCTATCACTGTTACAATTTCAGTCATGACTTACTAATTAAAAAGTTATTCACATGCTTGGAAAAAGTTGCTCCTCATTTTCCATCAAGCCATTGGTATTTCACGTGCTGAACACCTCAGCTACAAGTGATGGACAGATCGAAAATTTGGCAAATATTTATCAAATGTTGCACCTCTCCTGGAACTGAAGTGTGACAGGCCTGTGCAAGCTTGTAGAAGCACACAAATTTGTTATACATCAGCCCACTGTCTTAATATGGCCTAAACTACTCTATGAAAAAGCACCAAAATTACTTGTAGAAAAAAGAGCATCTAGCTCCCAAACAACTCTTACATAAAGGAGAACAGGCTCTCAGAGTCAGCAATGCTCTTCTGCCTGGATTGATTCCAGCTTCATTTTTAAGTTACCGCTTTGGTATTTAGTACACAATACTATGTACATACACACACATACATATATATTCTTGTCAAGCAGCCATGCAGAAAATACACCCAAATACTCAAAAGTCAACTCAAAAAAAAATACCTATGGCTGGAGCATTTATGCAGAGTTCTCTGGCCAACAGGAGGAAAGTTTTTCCCAGCACATAGACATTCACCTATTAAAAGACAAAAAAAAAATATTCAAATCTTAAACCACAAATGTTTTTAATAGAACGTTTATATGGAAAGGGAAAAAACCCTAACTTTTGAAATCTTAACCTGCTTTAAAAAAAAAAAACAACGTATCAATTGAAGTAATACAAGCCATATTCATAGGTATAGAATAATACTTGGTGCTTGTCAAAAGCTGCACAAAATTAGCACTGTAAAAAGTTCACACTGAAAAAAAATTTCAGAAGTTGTTCATCATGCTTTTCAGTGGGCTCAGTGTTCTCTGTAGTATTTAGACAATTTTTCAGTTGTCACCTAACATCTTAAAGCGTTAAGTAGACTTTAATATAATACCAGTATATATAAAATGTCGTTTATCTTGTAACTTAAACAAAACCTGAGCAAATACTCGCAAGTTAGTGCAAATTTCAGCTCTGCATGATCATGTGAAGTGGGATAATTAAGTATTGCACAAGCACACACCAAACTTTTCCACCAAAGCAAGGAGTGGTGCTATATGCCCCAAGGGTTATTTGTCATTTCTTACTGTTGGACACTACCCCAGATCACCCTACATTAAAAAAAGATAAAGAAATTCAGAAAAACCTTAAACCACACCAAACCTGCCAAGGAGCCAGGGACAGAGCCCCGCTCCCCTCCCCTCCTTCACTGCTGCACTCAGGAGGATGTAAACTGAGGGGAAGAGTTACTCTCCATACTCTGATTTGCAATTTATATCATAGGCAACTACATTTGTATTTTTAAAGTCTGAGGAAGTTTTCTTTCACTATCTTAAGATGTGTTTTTGTGGTCAGCAAGAAAGGCAGGATATACTTCAGTTCCCAATCAGCCCCAAACGTTCCCACGAAGCTCCATGAACACCTTGCTCCCCCAAGGCATACGTAGAGGTTAAAGTTAGTATAAAAAACTGAATCCTCCTACACCCCAACCAAATAATTTTTAAATTTTTTTTTAAGGATAGGATATACTCTATTGCTTTTATGTAACAGAATTGCCCCTCTCCTTCCTATGCCAGGATAGTGAAGGTGTTTACTAAGCAGTCAGTAATGCAACTGAGCTGTTGATTCTGGTACAAGCCTATGCAAATTTAAAAATGGTGTTACCAAGTATATTCTCTTTCAGTTCCACAAAAGATCTTTACCATTATCAGTTTAAAAGTAAGCTTTCCTCCCAAGTGTATAGATGCTTCTACCAAGCTAGCAAAAATATATATATTTAAACAAACGAACAGAAAAAATACTGACACGTTTTCACCTAGCATTTCAAAGTGATTCTTTATGTGAAAATGTTCTTAATGTGATTTTTTTCTCAAATTTAAAAAAAAAATAAATGTGAACTTAAAAGAAATCATCAGTATGATCATGGTTCCTGAAAGTGACTGCACAATCAAGTGTACATGATATGATGGTGATTCACTCCGTATCTAGTGGAAAGCGTTGAATATCTTCCAGGCTGTGTCTGAGCAACAGACTGGCCTAGAAGATACAAAAGTATAGTCTGAAATTTTACTGTCCTTTTTTTCCTGAAATAGCAGACAATACAGAAATACTATTCATGGGAAGGAAATGAACAAAATATACCCTTTGAATAAGAAGTTTATTTCTTAGGCAGTAAGTCACCAAATTTTATACAGAAAAATAAGCACCTACTGAACCTGGCAATTCCTAGAGGAGTTTGGGAGCATGTGACTTTCCATGAGCCACAGAGACAGAACAGACATGACTACAGCAAATATCTGCAGTGTTTCGCTTGGTTTTAGATGCTCTAGATTCACTGCAAGCTTGGAATGGCTTGTTTTGGCCTTTTGTCTAAAAATTATTAACATAAAGAATGGGGGTTTGGCTGTAGTTTCAGCCTTCTAAGTTGGCCGACCAAGTTACTATAAATCTTAAACCTCATCACTTAGATCTTGTTCTGCAAGGACGGTATCACTGCACAAATCAATAAAGTTACTTCACTGGAGCCAACTACATATGATGTTTCCACCAGAGACTTCAGAAACTCATCTATTTATTTCATTTTAATCTAGAAAAAAAAAAAAAAAAAGACAACTCAAATTCAGACAAGTAGACAAGTAATTCTCCTGGCCTTTTTTTTTTTTTGGTCACAACATTTAACTACTTGATATTTGTCCCCATCAAACCATGTCACTAAGAAACTCCTCTCAAGCTAACTTTTCATCAATGCAACATCAAAGAACAAATAAATATGCAGAGGCATAAAGAAGCAGGGGTTTTAGTGAAGTTCTAAAATCAAAGTGGGTGCCGAATTCAATCTAAAGCAAAGACAAATGCATAATAAAATTGCTCGATGACTGTTTGCCTTCCTCTCCTCGGCCTAACTAAAAGTCTCCAGATCCATGGTCTATTTGAAAAGTAACATACTTAAATCTAACCTGCTTTTCCACTTCACCCACATCATCAGTGTTTTATGACAAACTTCATGGTGTAGGCAGTTTACTTACACAAAATAATAAATTCAAATAGAAATGGTACATCAGGGAATTTCTTTCTTTTGATCACAAGTGCATTTCTTTGCAGTTTCTGGTGACTACCAGTTTAGAAAGAAAGCATAATATACAGTGGATTGCATGCTCTCCACTGTTCTCCTCATGAAGTTCACACGTTTTTAATGCCAGGGTAATGGCACAAAAAGAATCAGGAATATTTAATTGCTTCCAGTTTTCCTGGCAAACCAGTAGGAAAAGAGACTTCAGGCCCTTGAAAACAATACACTTCTCATCTTTAAAAGTTATCAGATATTCACAGGTTCTGGGGCATTTCTCATTAGTGGGAAATTAAAGATGGCATAAAACTCACCCAGAAATTTGTAATAGCATTGAGCTGCTGAAACAGGATATTTAAGAATTTCTGGGTTTAGTGGAAGAAGGCCCTTTCACTAATTTCAACTATTACGCACACACACACACATCCTGTGACAGATGA